CCCCATTAATTTTTCTTCCCCAAAGTTTTGACTATATGTGAATTAGGTTTAAGGAACATTACAAGCCTATTAGTTTTAAAAATTTATGAATAATTATTGGATAACCTGATTTTTTTTTTGTTTAACCCGAATTACCATTTTAGGCAATTTTTAAATAGGATAATTCACCATATCTGGGATAAGAGATCACATACAACTTGTTCGACCATATAATTGAGATGAATACAAAAGTCCCATCTTCAAACAATTTACACCGGTGCTCAAGAAATGCAGAGCATCATAGTTCACCAACCCGGAGCACAAAAGAGAAGAAAGTAACTCTGATAGCGACTTGAAGTCCAAACAGGTTCACCAAACAAGGGCATAAAATACAAGTCACAAGCACAGATAACAATCATTTCTGATTTGTTAAAAGTGAAAGAACAAGAAGGAGAGCAGGCAAGCTTTTATGTCTTACATTGGAGTTTGTGTCCACTTTTATATCAGTTGTGATGTTCTTGTTCTTTAGCTGACCGCTGACATCCGCCAAAAACAGCTCACCTTTCTTGATCCCAGTTGAAGTGAGTGCCTGGAATGCAAAATAAATAGAATGTCCGATCATAATATTATAAAAGGTTGTTTTCAAAAGAAACAAAAGCATATGCTTCAACGCAATTAACTTGATAGAAGACATTGAAACTAAATATCCAATTGAAACGATTTCACATCTGCACATCCAAAACAGATGGTCCATTTTCAGGTGTAATATTTAATGAGTTAATGAATCTCGAGCCAAGTCAAAACCTATATGCCATATCGCCAATACCATAATTGCAAACGAATTAATCATGGTAAACTAAACAAATCAACACCATTATAATCACGGAAGTCTTTCCTTTTATTTTCAAGGCTACACGCACATGTTGGTTGCTTAATTTTCCATTACTGATTGTGAATTTTACAAACAACTCGATTAATTTCAAGGCTACACGCACATGATTGTTGCTTAATTTTCCATTACTGATTGTGAATCGTACAAACTGCTTGATTAAATCAGCCACAACAAGATGCTGAGCAAAAAATCCATAAATGCAAATAAAATTATCAAAATAAAATAGAATCCAAATGCTGCTGCTAAGAGCCTATTTGGTATTGTCGTAATGGTTTTTTTCAAAGTAATTTATGCTTGGAAATGCATAGAAATAATTTTTTTTTATTTTTTAAAATCTATTTTTGACATGTACAAATCAAAACAATCTAAAAACACACAAAACAAATACAAAGAACAAAAATAATAATAGTTTTTTAAAAAAAAAACACTTTTTAAACACAAAAACAGTCTCTTAAGTGCAAAGAAATTAATCTTCCAGCACTTAACAATGGAGATTGACCAATTCATTTCTCATCAATTAAAAAATTATTCAACTTACCTGTTTTCCTAGGCCTAAGATTACAACTTCTACATGGAATATTAAGGGGAAAAAAACATGAGGATTCATCTGGGTAGTCCGTTAATTAAAAAAGAACATCAATACCACAATTTTTTTAAAAAAAGATATAATTAATAAAAAAAAGAAAAGGAGAGAAAATTACAACTCCAGTTGAGGTATAAGTAGTGACAGTGAACTTGTGGTCGCTCTGGTAATCTTTATAGAGAAGATCTGGAAATTTCGAGAAATTAAGAAGAAAAATATCAAAATTATCACAAAATGAAAATAAATGGAGTGAGCAAAAATTGAAATTCCTGTTACCTCTAGCTTTCTTGCCAATATCGGCGTAGAGACCTGGGCCTTTTCCCATGATTTTTTTTCTTTTTGAATAAATGGTATTGAAACAAAAAATTATTGAGAGAGAGAGCTGTGGATTGCCGCAGCAGAGTATTCTACAAAGAAATATAAAGAAAAATAGAAAATGAGAGAACCCTACCAACACATTCGCAACTGTTTGATAAGGACCGTTGGATCTACTGGCGTCTTGGATAGCCTCAAGAATCCTACCTATTCTTTTGTAACCGGTTGATATCGACCGTTGGATCTGAAGCCAAGGAGCTGGTGTGTTGTGTGGCCTTGATATTCGGGACGGGAGGTCCTTGGGCATATTCGCCTAAGTGTTTTTATATATATATATATATATATATGTCTATGTATGTATATATGTATTCAATCCTCACAACTTTTAGACATTCCCCATTATTAATATACATTATTAATATATTATATTATATAATAACATATATTAAAAGGTAAATCAACGGTGAGCTATTTTTTTTAATTTTATTGTTTTTTTTAATTATTAATTTAGTTTATTAATATTAAATTTTTTATTTAATTATCAGATTTTCATGATTGAAATCCCGAATTTGATGAATTAATCTAATTTGATAAGTTAACTCGAATTTTTTATTTAATTATCAGATTTTCATTATTAAAATCCCGAATTTGATGAGTTAATCTAATTTGACAAGTTAACTCGATTTTTTTTAATTAATTTTTTTCATTTAGTTTAGTTTGTTAATGTTAAATTTCTTTCTATTTAATTATCAGATTTTTATAACACGTATTATGGGCTTAACAAGTTAACTTGGTTTGATGGGTTAACCTAGTTGATTATGGGTAAACCCCTTAATTATTTTTTTTCTATTTAATTATCAAACTTTCATGACGTGAATTCCAGGTTTGATGGGTTAACCTGATTTAAAGGGTTAACCCAATCTTTTGCTTCATTAGTTTTTTTTCTTTTTATTGATTTTTTTAATTATAATATTTTTAAAACACGACCTTTTAGTCAAACTCACATCCAATACTTTTGAATTCAGTGTTGCAACTAGACTCACTTAAATTTAAGTTATGCAAGTTTAATATTGTTATTAATATTATAAATATTACTCTTGGGTTAAGCGTTGTAGCTAGATACAAGGTTTTTTGGGTATATCTTTGCAAAAAGACCTAACACTCTTAGATCTTAGCCTTTTCTATTTTTTTATGCAAGAAAAATAAATAAACTCGTGGCATATACCTTTATTTTTTTTCTTTTTAAGCCTTTTATTGTGGACTAGATGGTGCACTACACAATAAAAAAACTTATGTCTTTAGTTTATTTTTTTATCTGTTGTTTCTTAATATTAAATTTTTTATGTTTAATTATCAGGTTTTCATGACACGAATTCCAGGTTTAATGGTTTAACCCAGTTGATTTAGAGTTTTTTTCTTTTTTTTATTAGTTTTTTTCTTCTTGTGTATTTTTTTCTCTTTACTTTTTTCTGTTTAATTATTTTTTTTAATTTAGTTCATTAATATTAAATATTTTTATTTAGTTATCACACTTTCATTACATAAATCTCAGGTTTGTCAGGTTAATCCAATTAATTCAAATTTATTTCTTTCAATTTCATCTTTTAATATTGTATACAGTCCACAGTGAAAGGATGATACCTTTAGTTTTTTTTTTTTTATGCTTTTCATTGTGGACTACATGGTGCAATCCATGGTGAAAAGACTAGATATTTTTTTAATTAATTTTTTTATTTAGTTTATTGATATTAAATATTTTTTTATTTAATTATCAAATTTTCATGACACAAATCTTAAATTTGACAGGTTAATCCAGTTAATTTAGATTTTTTTTCTTTATTAGTTTTTTCTGTTATTTTTTCTTCTGAATTAATATTTTTTATTTAATTTAGTTCATTAATATAATTTTTTTTATTTAGTTATTGGTTGATGCCTTTTTTATTTAGTTATCTTAGATTTGGCCAACTAGAGAAAAAAAATTTTCTTTTTGTCTTTTTACCTTTATTTTTCTTTTTTGATGAATTAGCCAATTAATTCTGGGTAACCTTTTAATTTTTTTTTTTTATTTAGTTATCAAATTTTCACGATACGAATCTAAGGTTTGACGGATTAACCTGCTTTGAAGGGTTAACCCAGTTAATTTAGATTTTTTTCCTTTTCTTCATTAGTTTTTTTTCTATTAGTTTTTTTAATTAATCTATTTAATTATCATATTTTTATAACACTACCTTGCAATCAGACCTATATCCAAAGCTATTGGGTCTAATATTGCAGTAATACCCACTTAAACTTGGGTCATGCATTTTAATGTTATTATTAATATTATAAATATTACTCTTAGGTCAGTCGTTGCAGTCAAACCCAAGATTCTTGGGTATAACTTTGCAAAAAGATCTAATATTTTTAAATCTGAAATTTTTTCAATATTTTTTATGCAAAAAAAGATGCCACGGGTCATGTAACTAGTATATATATACAGAGTTACTGAAACTATTTGATTATAACAATTGAGTATTTAATTTTTAAATTCTTATCAATAGGTGTCTATGCTTTGAATTTTTATAATTTTTTCCATAATTATAATTTTTTTTATATAAGTGTTTTAATTATTTGAAAATGATTTTAATTTTTTTATTAATCAAATTCTATAATCACAACTATGCAATTCAGTTTAATAAGTTATTAAATATTTTGTACTAAAAAAATTGTTTGATTTTATGATAATAATTATTTTTAATTCAAACACCTTTTTTGGAAATAATCAAAATTCAATTAATCATGTTTACTAAGTATAATTTTTCTAAAATAAAAAACAATATCCTTATTTTACTTATATTTCAAATAATAGAAGAAATGAAGATAAAAAAAAAAATTGATTAGCCAGACGAATCCCTTAATTTCATAGTGAATTTTACGGTGAAGAATTAAGAAAACAGCATTTGTTGGTTTTTCACTGAACTAGAAAAATAAAAAATGTGTTTTCTCAAGAAACAACATTTAATTTTTAATTAATAAACATGTTTTTGAAAACTTTTCCACGATGTTTCTTCCAGGCTCCTTTCCATCTTCCAATCGAGGACTCGAGAAAAAATCAGAATTACTACGTATTAAAACTTAACCAATCCAATACTTATTTTAGTTCATCAATAAACCTACAAGGAAATATAAAATATATATTTCTATGATAATTTTGAAATATATTTTCTTATGTTAATCAAATGCGACCCATAATAAGAGTTCATCAAATATGGTTCTTAACAACTTTTCTTCAGCTATTGTCTCGATATGAACAAGAAAAAACAGCGATGCAAATAATCAGTCCCTCTGAAATGTCAAAAGGGAATATACAAGACTTGGATCCTTATACAACCGAGTTGCGTTCATGCGAGCTAGTGTTAGGGGCCATGCACTTGGTTCTTCACAGCAAGAAGAGAGAACCTATCAGCAAAAACAGTAAGTGATGGATGAGACCAGTATTCTTGGCGGTCAAATTGGCTGCATTGTAATCCGAACCGTCTGTCTTGGAAGTCACATAACTTCCCTCAGGTGTGCTTGTGGTCAGAACAACAACGATCCAGTTACCATCAGAACCAATCCCAGCTCCTGTAAACTTAGTATCATTAAGGTTACCGGAGTATGGAGTCCGTGTGAAGTTAGTGAGCACAAGACTTGGATCCAGGTGGGGAACACAAGCAGGCATTACAGCTCCATCCCTTGTGTTGGAGATATTCAAATGGCATTTGGCTAGAAGGCTCGGGTAATTTGGGAACTGCGGCTCAGTGCCTGGTACTGTGTTGGAACCCGTGGTATTTGTACAAGGTTGATTCTTGAATTGCTCAGCTATCTCCTCAGCAAGGCACTCCGCGTTATCATTTTTTGTGAGGGTAGTCAAATTGAAGGATGTCCTATAGTTGTTAATCCCTTGAAGAAGAGCATCCTCCTGATCACCTGCAAATAATAAGTAGTGGAATGAGAAGCTTAGTGTTAAGATATCAGCCGGGAAGAAAATCTTCAACTTGGGCAAATTAACATGGAGCATTAGACTCATGGGACTGTACTGAAAAGAAAGCCACAGACCACTTGGGACCTGGGATCATTTCCAAATTCGTGTGCATTCTAGACAAGCAGCAAAAACTAGCTTTTGATAGCAAGAGGACAACTTTTAAAACCATTTTCTTGACCTGAAGAACAAGTATCAGCAAATTGCATATAAATGATTTTAACAGAAAAAAAGATTAATGGGAGAAAAAAATTAAGCAATGACTTGACGAGCTTGCCAATTCAAATCACGAAGGAAAACTATAATACTAGTTGGATTACAGCTATTTCTTAGTTAACTGGGTCATAACAAGCAATCTTGCACAGTCAAATTCACTGCATAACGTAACATTCCGTTTGGAGACATCAGATTTGAGTAGAAATGAAATCAATTCAAGACCATTTACCAATTCCAGCGTTTTGGAAAGTTGTAAGCAATACAGATGAATCACAAGTATCCAGATTAATTGTAATGCACATATATATTATAGAATTGAATCTACAAGACTACAGCTAAAACGACAGAGTCAAACAAACAAGAACACAGAGAGATCTCTAGATCAAGAATCAGTAATCAGATCCCACATGATAAATTAGATGATGTAAAAAGAAATAAAAGAAAGCAGATAATTTGCAAGTAATCCCAGAAATAAAGAAAAGAAGAATGGTTACCGTCACAAATGACAGGTTGACTGGTCAAGCAGAGAATAATGAAGAAAACAAAGAATGGAAAGAGAAGAGAAAATCTTGAAGATACCATCGCTGCTGCTGCTAATTGAAGCTACTGTTGTTTTTCAAAGGAGAACGGCGTCGGTGATGAATGTATACAAGAGAAAGAGTCCAAGAGACTACTCCTAGTAAATGAGGAAGCGAGCAGCTTGGAAGATAGATTGTTCCTTTCTTGTTTGTTGGGTAACTAACGACAACAACCGTGCATCTGCGACGTTCTTCCTTCCACTTTATTCATAAAAGCGTTGTCCAAACGACCCCCATCAGATTTATACGCTGCCGTTTTTGTGGTTATTAATAACAACAGCAACGATAATGATAATACTGCCGCGATTCTCGTACATGCTGCCTGCATGCCGCGCGTCTTCCTTTTCTTTCTAAAAACGACACCGCTTACCGCAAAGCACGATTGCCCCTTTTTTTATTTTTTTTTATTTTTTAAAATTAGCGCATTTATTTTTAATGTTTTTTTTGGAAAACTAGCAACAGTCAATTATTATTATTATTATTATAAAAAAATCATAGTTTGATGGAAGTAACACGTTAGAATTGTGACTTTTTAAAAATTCATAGTTAATAAATGTTAATTTTTAAATAAATGATCAAAATGTAGTGATACACATTCCATGGAGGAAAGAAAAATAAAAATGATTCCATGTGTAGATACACAATATACTTAAAAATAATTCCATGTGCAGATACACAATATACTCGGGAGGTCATGTGCCCTACTTTGACCATGTTTACAATAGAGTGTAGTTGTATATTAAAAAGATAAACTAAAAAATTCAAGTATTTATTTATTTGGAATTGTAATGATGGTTATAGTTTAAAGTGCTTTTTATTTAGAAATGTATTTAAATTTTTTTTAAAAAAAAAATAAATTATTTTTGACATTAACACATTAAAATGATTTAAAAATATAAAAATATTCATTTAAAAAAATTAAAAAATTTTAGAACACATCCCAAACAGTCCCTTAATATTTCTTTATAGACTAAATCATATTATATTATGGATTAAAATAATATAATTAAAATTTTGTTCTTATATGAGAAAATAAAACTAGAGATGAAAATATATTTTCACAATAATCTTTATACTCATTAGTTTTTTCACATTTTAAAGCACAATAAAAAGATAAAATTTTTCTTTAAAAAATTATTTAACTATTTTAGAGTTTTTTTTTTCTACATTCATTTTTTTAAAGCACAACAAGACATACATTCTTCAAGAGATGTGGGGTATCTTCTAATAGTCAGATGTGAGGTATCTTTTTGTTATGATATTTAAATTGTATTGATGGCCTATTTATCTCTAAATATCATATTTAACTAATGAATATATAATTTGGTGTCAACAATTTTATTTTTTTCTTTGTTCTTGATTTTGCACCTAACCCTCTAAATTTTGAAAGTAACCATTTAATGTTTTTTCCCTTCAGATTTGGTACAAGTTTTTTTTATTGTATTTATTTTATTTGATATAATTTATAAAATTATATTTTTATTTTATTTTTATCCTCCTTTAATTTTTTTTTAATTTATCAGATTTATTCATCATTTTATTAATTGTTATTTATTTTATTTGAGATAATTTTTAAAAGTGATTTCTTATACAATTTCATTATTCTTCTATTTATTTCCAAGTATATTTGATTCTTGTTCTTTTGATTGTAATTTTTTTACTTTGATAAATTTTTAGTTAATATTTTTTTTCTGATTTTATTTTTTAACATTAAATTGGTTAAAAATTAAACTTTTTGATTGTGTCCAGGTTTAAGATTTCATGGTTTATGACTTTAAGAGATTGACCTAAGTTTAGGAGATTCACACATATTTGCTTATTTTTTTTCTTCCTTTTATAAGTTTATGGTTTTTTTTCAGTTTAATTCTTCAACATTCATTTAATTGAAAATTGAGTTGTATTTTTTTATGTGTTTTCTATAGGATTTTTCACCAATCTTAAAAATAACTTAGGTAATCTTGGATATTTTTATTTTTTATTATTTGTTAAATTTAGTTTTTTAAAGAAATTCTTCTTTTGAATATGATATTGATAACTCATTTTTTATAGTTAATTATGGTCAATTTTTATTGTTTGCTTTATTTAATATTGATGTTATTTTTAATAGTATTATTAAATTGACCAAATTTATTGAATTCAATTAAATCAATAATCCAAATCTAAATTTATCCTTTTTTTTTCAAATATCAACAACATCTAAATATTTTTTTATGTTAGGAAATAATTGACATATGACTTTCATACAAGCCACATATCCAGTGATATTGTTAGAAAAAAAAATCAAATTTAGCTTTCATGCCAAATGTTTTATTTTGTTTAAATATTAAATGTAAGATAAAAATGTGCTAGGTTTATAAAAATATTATTTTTCATATCTAGTTTTTTTTATAATATTATTTAGAAATTAAAAAACTAGGATTTAGAAAATGTTAAAAAAATATATAATATAGTAATTTAACTCATTTTAAATCCTTCTTTAAACTTACATTCACGGTAAGCTTTTAATGCACATCTTATTCCGTTTAAAAATTAAATGTAAGATAAGAATGTGCTAGCTTTATAAAAATGTTATTTTCAACATGTAATTTTTTAATAATATTATTTAGAATATATATATATATATAAGTAATATAGTAATTGAACTCATTTTAAATCTTTCTTTAAACTTGCATATACAACAAGTTTTTATATGCATACTTAAAAATATTATTCACTGACATAACTAAAAGATTAATGATTTTTTTCAAGTGTAGAAGTATCAAAGTAATAAATAACCCAACAAAATAGAAGTCGAATTATAGAAAGGTTAACTATATAAATTATAAATAATAATGATGATGATGATGAGTTAAAGAAAACTTTGAAATGTAAGATTAATGTGAAGATCAAATAATGATAAAAAATAGTTGTCAATGTTAGAGGATTCACTAATGATATTTTAAACAAATATAATATAAACTTTTTTATTACTCAACTAAAAACCACACACAAACATGATTCCAATTGGATTATAAATTGTTCATTTATTATAAATTATGAACATGATCTTACAAATTATCTTATTTAAGTAACACCAAATTTTTAAATTTTATCCAGAATTCATGATGCTAACTTATGTTAACAATAAATTAAGTTTCTTTCATAGCACAAGTATAGGTTATATTATACGATTGACTATGAAAGTGTCAAGTATTTGTTATACCAAGTGTTATATAACACAAATTTAGATTAACCATTTAACAAGCAATGTATTAAAAACTAATATAATAAAAATGATAAGATATATTAATAGCAAGTTGTTTATGATATAATCATTGAAGTTCATATTGAGTTTATATTATACTTATCCTAACACCATTAGTGAAACCTTTTCACTTAACATAATAATTAAGAAGATAAACATAAATAAACAAGAGGAGAACATGATTATATAAGTATAGTAAAAGAAATGAAAGACATAAATAAAAAATTAATGAAAGCAAAATTTAATCATTACAAAAATATAAAGAAAGAGAGCAAGAATATGATTTTGATATGAAAATCAAAATGTCTAAATGCATATGCCTATTTTTATAGGCCAAAATTCAGAACTATTAATTTAATGATTAATTGTTGAGTGGGTGACCACTTCTTTACTTTGTAACAATCTTTATTTTTTTATATGAATAAAATGTCATTGATAACATCAAAATTTAAATAGATACTCCATGAAAGTTCTGGAAAATTGTCTTAATTTTCCAATAAAAAAAGAATTGATGCATTTGGACTTCTAGAACTCGAGATATAGGTTGAACACTGAACAATGTCTAGGCTGACTAGAGTTTGATTTCTCTATTGTTGCTACAATTTAAATTTAAAAACTGTCCTTTTGAATCTTGGATTCCCATGAAAGTTTTAGGCCTATATCTTAGCTTTCCATGTATATAGAATAGACTTAAATCCAAGCTCTACATCTCTATTTATGATCCAATAATCAAATAGTGTTTCAATTTGAATTTAACCAACATTTCTTTTCTAAGTTTAACCTTATATTTATTTTCTTAATTTCAGTAATTAAACACATTAATCAATCCTTTAATTATATGATGGACCTGCATTTAAGATGAACGTAGACTTGTTATTATAAAACATGTTTTAGTTAAGAAGTTATTGATACTTCATGTGTAAAATGATAATATAAAACTTTAATAAAAATATACTTTTAAGTACTAATCATTCACCTGAATAATATAATGACTTTTTTCTCTTCATCCAAAAAACTTAATACTAGTTTTTAAGAATATTAAAGCCTTTTTACATGGTTTATTTGTTATTTTAAAATAAAGTAGGAAAAATAAGTATTTTTTTTATTTTGATTGCACAATCTAGAATACCATTAGAAGTAAAAAAATTTAAAAATAATGTCAAAGAGTATTTTTGTGTTTTCAATATAGTTTTTTTATTATTAAAATTTAAGTTAGAGAACAATTTCATATTTTTATAAATAGAAAAAAATAATAAATAATTAAAATGCAAAGTAAAATAATGAATTATAAAGAAAAAAAAGCTTGAGATCAAGTGGTGTTCTTGTTTTTTTACAATGTTTTTTTTTGTAATTATAAAGTTAATTTATAAGCAATTCCATATTTGAAAAAATTAAAAAAACAAAAAGTTGGGAGGCGCTCACGCCCTTCTAGGTTTTAATAACTAGTATAGCGTCTTTTGATATTTAAAAATATTTTTTTATTATATAATTGGAAACACTTTTGTACCTTTTTTCTGTTGGTGTTGCTATCACTAATTATGGTTTAATTTGATGATAATGAAAATTTGTTTTCCTTCCTTTTCTCTCTTTCATTCCTAAAAATTACAATATGGGCTTTCTAATTGTTGGTATTTCACCTTTAATCCCTTTTCTTTTGATTTTTAATATTTTTGTATTGGTTATTTTGTAAAGATTTTATTTTTTTTTCAATTCCATCATTCAATCTTAATTTACTAAATATTATATTCTCTACTATGCTTTTTATTGTTTGAATTTTTTTCCCTTTAACATTTTGTAAAATTTTTAATAATTTTCAATTTCATCCTTCAATTCAAATTGATGGTATTATATTTTTCAATCTAGTCCTCATTGTTTTGATTTCTATTTTTTTCTTGTCTATTTTGTAAAAGTTATTATTCTTTTCAATTTCACCCTTTAATTACAATATTTTT